TATAATGTGTCTTGGGCACGACATCCACTTTGCCTGCCTTTTTGTTGCCAACTGCCCGGCGGCAGGTGGGTGAGCACAGGCTCCTCACCGAAGTCGAGGCGGATAGCTTGAACATTTGGATTATCCGTGTGCTGTTTTCGTGGCTTCGGGGGCTCGGATTTGCTGCTACTTGTATGTGAGTTTTCTCTGCAGTTCCACCCAAGATGATGCAACACCGCCATGTGGGCTATGTGACTAAGTGCGTCAACGCACTGTTTACTGAATGGCTTCACGCGATTGTTACGCAGAGATCCATGTGGTGGCAGGCAATGTCTTTTGTTGGTCCACAGCTTGGGAGGCCTGCCTTCGTTGCAAATGCTCAGTGCAGACTCCTTGTATGCGCCAGGATCTTGCCTGCTCAAGCCTTTCCGCGGATCCCATGTGAAGTTTCTCCCTTTTTGCATCGCCGGGGCTCCCACAGGCGCAACATCTCGGAAGAGGGTGCGGCTCCCAGAATCAGGAAAGAAGGCTTGCTCTCCAAGTGCCGACTCCATTTCCCATTATGATACTCATGTGCTAGACCAATCGGGCATCCGTTCGCCTAATTAGTATTCGTTTGCCAGCAAATATGTATTTCGACATGGTAGGATGTTTAGTTGTCGAAAAGACAAGGGGTGCGGGTGCACTCTGTGCCTCTATGTTGATGCCCAAAGCTTTGGCTCAAGAGTCTCCCCGTCTCGGAGTGTGGTATCGCGCGAGCTCCGCAGTCCAAGGACTGAGACGTTGATATTGTCACTACCACGATGAAAGAAGAGATTCAGTGTTTCTCGCGACATTATCCTATCTTGTGAAAACATGTGGCATGTGTGCCGCGCTTGGCTTGTTTTCTTAGCTTTGGCCTGCTGTTGGATCCGCTGACAGAGCTTAATCATGCGGCGCTTCCAGGGGTCCAATTTGCACAACTGCCAGAACCAGAAAGGACGTCCTCCCATCAGACCGTAAGTGAGGGGGCCCTGTAGCAACAGCTGGATGGTCTCCCCTCCGACAGTCCTAGCCTGACCAAGCCACACAAAGGAAGGCAAAAACCAATGCTGCATCACCGCGAAGTCGCTGTTCTCGGGCCAGATGTGTAAATGAAACTTTGGACCTCTCTCTCGCTGTGTCTCTGTGTCTCGCTCTTTGTCTCTTTGTCTCTCTCTGTCTCTCTCTGTCTCTCTCTGTCTCTCTCTCTCTCTCTCTCTCTCTCTCCTCTCTCTCTCTCTCGCTCTCTCTCGCTCTCTCTCTCTCCCTCCTCTCTCTGTCTCTCTCTCTCTCTCTCTCTCTGTCTCTCTCTCTCTCTCTCTCTCTCTGTCTCTCTCTCTCTCTGTCTCTCTCTCTATCTGTTTCTCTCTGTCTCTCTCTCTGTCTCTTTGTCTGTCTCCTTCTTTCTCGCTCAATCTCTTATGTGTTGGTTTGCGTGGGGACGGGCGGGGAGGGGGCGGGGCGGCGAGGCTTGCGCCACGCCGCATACCGCCGTACTGGTCCACCCAAGCGGGCTGGTACACCGTCGCCGCATGTTGGTCAAAGCAACCAGAAAGGACCAGGAACGAGTTGCTGTTTGACCATCCAACTTGAGGCGCCAGTACTATCAGTACTACTGCGTTGCTTATCCGGCAAACCACCACGAGCGGCTTGAGAGGGTTTAAGCCTGGAAAGCTCCCTGGACGTGACGATACGCGTCAGACCGTTTCACACTCATCTTGCTGCTTGCTTCTCTTGTGACAGGATGCTATCTCGACTTGCTCAAGGCATCCGGCCTTAGTGTGAGCTTCTAGAAGGATTTGCCGTGCTTGCATGTTCATTGACCGACAAACCGGCATCGACAGAGTAGCTTCACATGCTGTGTGTGTGCTGTTGTCGCTTTCTTTACAAGTACGCTCGTGCCCCGTTTTTTCTGGACAGGTCTTCTGAGTCTAGGAAGCCTGTGCCACATGGTTTTTAGCAACGTTCCTATCAGATCGATGTCGTGGTGGCTGAGATTAGTGGTGCACACGACATCCTCGCATTTTAGCTTTTTGGAAACGGTGGCTTTCAAGTCTGCCGTTCCGAATGGTTCTTTGAGTGTTCCCTACATGGGCAGTTTAGGGTTTTCCTTTATTCAATGTTTTTGTTGGGGCTTTTAATTGTTCGATAGCTTCTTTGACATGTTCGGGTTCTGCTAGGTATTCCCGAAGGATGGCCAAGCGTGAGGTCATAGGAGATGCTGGAGCCACAGCCCGCGCCCCTGGCGCAGAAAACGATGACTTTTAAACCGAGCGAAGGGGTGGGCGACGATGGCACGGGTCAGAGGATTTCTAAAATCCTTCCGCTGTCCAGCCTTGTGGCTGTGTCGGTCTCGTTTCTGGTTTCGGTCAGCTTTTGGGCGGCTTTCAGATGGCTATACTTACTTTTTTTTTTTCTCATTTTGTCAAAATTCTATGTACAGGTCACAACTGTGCTTTCATGTTTTCCGGAAGTTTCATGTCAAAGGTGGAAAGCTTGAACAATGCTGTGGAACATGTTCGGGTGGAGCTCTTGCGCCTGTCCTCGTCTGACTGGGCCGGGTTCTGCGGAATTAGGTCATTAAATCTGGTGACTTGTTTGCCCAGCTCCTCATGCTAAAGTGCTGTGGTGTGAACCTTCGGCTGCTTGGATTGCCTAGGCATTCGCAGCGGCCGTGTGCCTGCTGCAGTCAGTGGAGCTTTCAGGACAAGCCCGTGAATGTAACATCTTGAACCAGAGTTCTTGTACCCATGGCGAGCAGCGAAGATTTTGATTGGCTCCTGCTGCTGAAGCAAAAGAAGCACGGCCTGAGTGCCTGAATCTGTTCATCAAGACTTACATCAATGGGTTTGACAAGCCGTAGCCGAGAGCGCAGCATCTTCTATCGGTCGTCGGAGCACAAGCACAAGTACGACTACTCACGAGACCGGCTGTCGAGCTAGCGTAGTTGGTGTTGCCCGGTAATTGTACAGGCCGTGCAGAGGCTAGATTTGGGAAGCTCTATGCCCAAATGCAGTTGTTAGGCTTACGATATGCAGATCTGCATTGAGTCTTACATATTGTCATTTTGTAGTGGATCGTTCGGCGTGACGGCTGCAGGAACAGCTTCACCGTCGTTCAGGAGGCCGTGCATCTTGTGCCCTTGCAAAGACCTCTTATTCCGACCGGAAGGAGTGCAGCTTTGTCCCACTGGCTACTAGTAATTGCTACTACCGCAAAGCCAAGTGGGAACAACGCTGTCGCTGACGGCTACGACAGAAGTATCATTCTAATGGTCACCGGAAGTAAACATCTCGCGAATGCTGCATTGACATGCCTGCCTTCCACTCTCGGTATTTTTCTTACCTTGCTCTCATCGCTGCCCATGGCATTATCACGGTACTCCCTACGGTTTGCACAGCATCATCACCATCGCAACATAAAGGGCTGCATTGCTAATGTGGTCAGTGTGAGTGTGTAGCCACGAATGCTACAGCATTCGCCGTCCCCCGGCAAGACTTCAAGAGGCCTGGATGCTTGTGGGAAGTGTCGTTTTCTCGTGGAAGAAGTCGAAGTCCAGATCACAGCAGGAGGAGATCAGCAGGACAGGAGTTCCGCCAGTGAATGCTGAACATGTAACCAGCTTAAACAACAGTTTCCAGTTCCAGTGGTTGCTCATTTGCATTGGTCACTCCCCTCCGTCATGCTAAACGGAAAGTTTGGAAGTGGTACTAGTAGTAGCTGTAGAAGTAGTTGTAGTAGTGGCCGTAGTATGAGTAGTAGTAGCAGTAGTAGTAGTAGTAGTAGTAGTAGTAGTAGAAGTGGTAGTAGTAGTAGTAGTAGTAGTAGGAGGAGCAGTAGTAGTAGTACCAGTAGTACTTGTAGTACTTGTAGTACTAGTATGACTAGTAGTATTAGTAGTACTGAAGGCAGTAGCAGTGAAAGTAGTAGCAGCAGCAGCAGCAGCAGCAGGAGTAGTAGTAGTAGTAGTAGCAGTAGTAGGAGTAGGAGTAGGAGTAGTAGTAGTAGTAGTAGTAGTAGTAGTAGTAGTAGTAGTAGTAGTAGTAGTAGTAGTAGTACAGTAGTAGGAGTATAGTATGTAGGACGTAGTATGACGCATCGTGCAGCGGATTGAGCCGAGTGTGCAGCTGTTGGCATCTTTCTTATGCTGCGCTCTTGATGCTTCTAGTCTGACGAGTTTTTTAGGCTTCGAGGTGCCCGCTGACGTTAGTGTCCTTTGCCGGACTCTGCGATGCAGATTGCACCCTGGGCGCCAGCTGCGAATGAAGAAGAAAGTCTGTAGTATGTAGTATGTCAGTATGTAGTATGAAGTATGTATGTAGTATGTAGTATGTATGTAGTAGGGAGAGTGTAGTATGTTTTTGCCAGAATCCGTTCCGATGTGTGTTGTCTTGGAGAACCCTGTCGGTGCTAGAATAGAAAGTAGCTTCTTGCATTTCTTGGCTCTTCATGTTCTCTCCTTTCTGGCAGTGCTGCCTCGTGCATTTTCACCTCACTTCATGTACATTTCGCAGCTGTGCTTTGCAGTGGTTCTCGCGAGGCCACCCCAAGATTGAACCGCTGGAGCCTCACATCTTGTGTGCTCTTGCAGCGGCAGAATGGCTCTATCTGTCGAAAGCCTCGAAACAGCCTGTCAATGCAAAAGGTTCGGCTCCACGGTTGCCAAACACGTCCTGATAGTATGATCGATGCGCTTAGGCTGTGAGCTCTATGTGCCTGGCACCCAAGCGAAGATTATCCCCAAGGCTGCGAAATCTGCAGCGGACGTCGTGGAGCCTGGGCAGCACACAGTTTCAGGCAAAAGTGGTTCAGCAGTTGCGGAGTGGAAGTGGTTTCTGCTCGCTATTCTTAAGATACTCCAGTTCTGAGCTTAGCATTTGCACGGCATCATGTTGCTGGGAATGGACGTCAAGACGGTTGTGTCGTGATTCAACCCTCAAGACGGCAGTGTTGTACGGAAAGGTGATGGATCTTGAAGATTCGGTTGCCATCGGCGAGAAGGAGGTTGCGCGAAAGAATGTCATCCAGGCTTTGAAGGACGCTTCTATCCAATGCATAGATCTTTTTGTAGAGTCTTCTCTCGTTATCGCAGCAGGAAGTCGACTTCGGCAACAAGACTGTTGCTGCCTGGGGCTTTATGGATCTTGATCGGCAGCTTCTCGCTGATGCATGGTGGCAGATGCTTGTGTATGCTTGTGTCGCGCCATGCTTCCCGGCGGAGAGAAGATCAGGTGAGAATCAACGGTTTGTACAGTCACCACATGTACCGCGATGTCGTGGACATCATCGAGCAGGCAGCTTTGACTGGGGCTGTAACACTGCTGGAGTGCAGCATCTCCTGCAGAAGTTGCAACCGTTCGTGTGTAGTTGCCCAACTAGAGGCCGTCCTATATGGCAACATGTGTGTCGTCGTGTTGTAGCTTCGTCTACTCACACCCATGCGAGCGCTGTTGCCTGTCTACAGGCGGGCGAGCGATGCGACATGTTTGTCATCCCCATGGTCGGCAATGGAAAGGATCATGCAACATGTGCCAGTAAGAACGTTTGAGGTGCTGACGTGACGGGCTCCGACTTGTGAGTGACATGTGCTGTGGTTGGTGGACATGCCTCAGTCATCGGGAGATTCGCAAGCTCCGAGCAGCATACTTCACGAGAGGACGTTTACATGGCAGACTCCTTAGTCAGCCAGGTGGAGGCACGTCGCCGTCATTCGGTTCCCAGCAGAGTCCAGATGCTTTCGTGTGTGAGCTGAGTATAGCTGAGTCATTGTTGGTCTTTCATGGCAGCTGATGTGCTGCAGATGCGCCTTTGCGACACGGTACCTGGTTGGGTGGAAAGGATTCTGGTTCAAAGTGATGCCCGTTGTTGCAAGCTTTGCAACCCAAATTGTATCTTTGGGCATTCCGCGCTCTCAACCTCAATGCTCTGATGAAGTGGTTTGTTGAACGTGGGCTTGCGCTTCGAGCTTATGCAATGAAGCCCGTTTTTCGCCAGGAGTTCATGGGCCGCAAAAAGAAAATCGGATTTGGGCTTATCATCGAAGCCACCCTGGGTGACCTGACATCGGTTCTGTCAGCCGTTGCATGCTTCATGCAGTGAGGCTGTAGGCTGAACGAAACACGGTTTGCCACCGAGCAGGTGACTGAACTTGCAATTGACAGCCACCCTGCAGCGACCAACTTTGCTCAGGTATGATGAATATTCATGAGATCGCTGCAGCTTCTAAGCGGAACGAGTCCCTCCACTTTGGCGTGGCGGACCGATGCCATGGTTCGGCATGGCTTGAAGATCGCATTGTCTGTCACCAGTCTTGGTTGTTTACTGCCCTCGGCAGGACTATGCAGCATCCACTAAGTCGCGAACCACAAACATTGGCGGACCGAACAAGCTCTATGGGGTGCTGACAGACAAGGAGGGAACACGACGGAGCCACCTGTAAAGAGGAAGGCTCAAGCTTTGCGGATGCCTTGCTCAGGACGGCGACAAGGCCCGGGACTTCTTTTGGGGGGACCCCTGGCACTACGCTATGGCCAGGACCGCGATGGGTCGGGCATGTCCGGCGCTGCAAAGTGCTTCAGGGCACGTGTCGCAGGATTGTGGTGGCAGCACGTGCCAACGGCCTTCGGCCCGTTGACGGCCGCTGGACAGAACATTGGGCATTAAAGCTCCGTTGTCCCATGAGAGGGAAGCTGAACTTTATGAAGTTGAGGGCCTTTCGGCGACATCGCGGACCCCGACGGCTACAAGGCCAAAGCAGAATCCCTTTTTCTTTAATGGCAGTCGCAAGAATATTCCTCGGAAGGCCCAGTGTGAACGTGGAGCTGCCCTGGGCATGGAGGGAAAATGGGCGATTCACCCCAGCCAGGCCAGGCTAAGACAGGTCCAAGGTGCCAGTTTGCGATGTGGTGGGTCGTGTTTCTCTGTGAGGCTGCAGTTGAACGGAGCACATGTGATATTCTAACTTCCAAGAAAAGGGACATATGGGTTTGGCAGCTCAAGCTACGCCTAAGCTGAACAGGTGGCTTTGGCGAATGAGGTTTTCAGCCCCGGGGAAGCTGAAGTGAAGCAAGCCAGACGACTCTTTCCTGCAACAAGAACCACTGCGGTGGCACAGGTATCAGGACTGCGTCCCGCAGGTGTTGGCAGCTTAAGATAGCACCTCGATAGTTCACAGATCGGCTTCCAGGTGTTCTGGAAGCGATGGAGAAGGCCCAGAAGGAGGAGCGATCTGCCTTGCACCCTTGAGTTTCTGCTCGCTTGCCACTTGTCCTCCATATGATGTTTGTGGAGGGTCTTGGCGCCGTTTCCTTGGACGGCAAGCTGGTGGACATCGCCTCCATTAAGCAGGTGCGCTCTTGAGACAGAGCCAGGTTCTGGGGCCAACCTCGAACAGATCAGAGACTATGAAAACCAAACTGTGATTGGATCACACCGTTAGTTTCGCTTGGCATGCAGGCCGACGCAATTGTGAAGAAGGCAGAGGCTATCGAAGCTATGTGAGGCCAATTGAAAGATCACAGGAAGAGATCATTCTCCGCTCCACATCCTGCCAGAGCCCCTGAACCTGGACACGGCTGCAATTTTTTGGTAAAGACTGTTCCAGCTGAGGTGTTGGAGTTGTTCCCCGTGGATTGAGCCAACCTTTCTACAGTGCCACTGGAGGTGGTACAAGAGTTTCAATGGTTTAAGGTCTGGAACAATGAAGGCAATGCCAATTCTTCCTCGTAGAAGGTTGAAGCTATGTTAGTATTGCCTGTCATGTTCCAAGCCGTTTTCGTCGACCGACGAAATCGACGTAGTCATGGCGAAGTTTCTCCCGTTGGATGACCCCAGGCAAAACAACTTTGTGGTGCCCAGCCGTGTTTGTACAAGCACTTGCTTGTGCTGCAGACTGCATGCCTCATGAGTAGATTTCAGGCGAAGCTGACGTGGGTTTGGCCACACATGGGGAGGCGATCGCATCAGTCCAGTGCACTTTGTAGCTTCGTAGTGCGACCAACTGCAAATGCACTGGCTCGCACACTCTTTCGTGAGTATGTCCGCGACAGGACCAGCTTCTACGAGAGCGCCGCGACCTTGGAGAAACCTGCAGGATTTTTGGAACCGGGGGTTGGCATGCTTGTCGACAGTTTGATGAAGGGATGTATGCCAGGCGTCCTGCATGTGATACAGGTGGCTCGAGACCCAAAAAAAAAGCGACATGCTTCATGTAGCAGAATGAGCTTTCAGCACCGGACAGCGGTCAAGTGTTTCTTTTGGAAGCGGCTACTGGTACCGTGCGGTGAGAATGATGCCGGAGACAGAGGGGACCACGCCAGGTCACAATTTGTTTCATCGCTTTGTCTTCGATCACTATGAGGCCCCTCAGTCGGTCGGCACCTCGAAATTGATGGAGCCGGCGTCTTGAATGACTAAGTTCCATCTTTGTGCGAACAGAAGACAATCGGAAATGTGCAACTTCAACACGGGCTTTTTTGAACGCACACGGAATGCTGCCAGCTTGTTTAACTAGGCATTGAGGCTTTAGGCTCGCCGTCAGTTTTCAGGGCTTTAGGCACTGTGAATGCAGGCCTGGAGCCGCTGAGAGGCTTCAGAGTTTTTAGGGTTTCAGGCTCTGAAGCGAAGGATTTTTCGGCCCATGAAAGGCTTAGTTTCAGGGTTTCGGGCTCTAAACTCAGGGCCATTGGGAGGCATACACGTAGTATTTACGGCTTCAGGCTCTAAGTGAAAGCCTTGAGCCAGAGAAAGCTTAATTTCAGCACCAAGTCGTTTCTGCTATCCGCCTGATTTCAGAGTTTCCAACATTCCGGTGCAGCTACCATTGGAAATCTTGCGCTTGATAGTTGTGCTGGTTAGGGTCAAGTCAAAATGCGTTTTGATCTGGAATGCGGCAAAGGCTCTATAGCACTTGCAAGGTAGATTCGGACACTGGCAGTCCTGTTCAATTCAACCGTGTTCTCACGACTTTGAGGCACTCTGTGATCATGACAACTTTGAAGCAGTCTTTGATCATGACAAGTTCGCCACTTCCTCACCCGTGCCAAGATGCTCGGAACGGTGAAGCTTCGCGAAGTCGGAAGTGTATAAAGCCTCTCCTACAACCTCCGTTCTTTGGTAAGAGCATGGCATGCGTAAGCCAGTTTCCGCGCTGGTGTAGTTGCCTGAGTGCCTCCCGTGGCCTGCTGCAGAGGTGCCATTGCCACGGGGCGACTACGTCCTCCGTGTTGGGGGCCGGCCAGCACGAGCCCGTGGAGTGCGTGTGTCACAGCTGTGCCTCCAGTTTTCTCCTTGCTGAGGTTTGTGGTCTTTCGGTGCTGGGTGGCCTGGCTTGTTCAGTGCCGAAGGTGCCATTGCCCCAGAGTCCCAGAGTAGCAGAGCTGAGGCCTTCAACCCTGGAGGTTGGTCTGTGGAGGAGCTTGGGCTGATGAAGGGCTTGGGCCTAAGAAGGGAACGCCGCCCCACTTTGCCGGGCCAAGCCGCTCTGAGCTCTGCAGCTGAGGCGGGAGCCGGAGCTGGCTTCCCTGGCACAGCAGCTGCGGCGTCGCGCGCGGAAGTGCTCCGAAGAGTGCGGAGGCCTCCATGTGTCGCAACAAGTCGCAGGTACGCTTGCAGCGTAGTGTACGACTCGAAGGATGAGCGTTCTTTCCGGCCCGGAACTTGGCTTCCATAGAGGAGCTTTCAACGTGGGCTAGACTTGCGCTCGAATCGATGCATGTGGTGTTTCCAGGGTTTCAGCTTGAAGTATCATGTATACAATGTAGACATGTCTGCACCCGCTTTGAATTGCCCGGCTCCCTGCACCGTGGCCCCGGACTAGGCCCAGGCAGTCCAAGAGGACATGTGAGTTTCACTCCCATCGCAATCCCAAAGAGATCCCCAACTGAGTCAAACACACTGTCCAGCTAGTCAGATTGAAGCTTCGGCGCCGCTTTGGGATTTATGTCTCTGTTGCAACAGCAGGATGCCAAAGGCAACCTCGAAGGCAAAGTGTCTCCCCAAAGCGCAGGTCTGTAGTCAAAGGCATGGAAGTCGAGGTCCAAGCCGTCCGAGCCGTGGATCCTGCGGACCCTCGCGTAGCACCGAGTTCCAACGTGCAGCCACCAAGATCCAGGCGCGGTTTCGTGGCATTCTCGGGCGCATCCTGGTTGCTCAAAAGCGAATCCGGCTGGAGCAAGAGAGGGCAGAGGAAGAGCACCGCCGACGCACCGAAGCAAAACGCGAAGCAGCACAAGAGGCACGACGGCAGGCAGCACAGGAGGCTCAAGCGCGGGCGGCACAAGAGCGAGACGAGAAGCTGCGAGCCTTGCGGGACAGGCGCTGCGCACTGGAACAAATGTGTCAAGGCCTGCCAGCGCATCACATGGACTGGGAGGAATCCCCTGCCAGGCTGCTGGAACTTTTAGAACGGACTGTGGGCATCGGCAGGCTTGCTTTGTCTGAAGCTTGGTTGGGATGCCATTCAGAGCGGCGGTCGGCTAGAAAACGATATTTATTGCTGACGAGAAAGTGGCATCCCGACAAGTGGGCCGTACAAGGAGAGCTCTGCGTCTCCATCGCAACGGAGGTGGCAAAGCAACTCGTAAGGGCATATGAGCAGGCATGCAAGGAGCTGCCAAATGTGGTTCCTCCTTCCACAACCGGTGCTGCACAAGAGGACAACGACGAGGATCGTGAATGCTACGAGTTTGCGAGTTGGGTTGGTATTTCTTTCAAAGGCATGGAAGAGTTATGGAAGGAAAGGCGGGGCGTCAAGCGATGACGCTACCATCTCCAGCTGGAATCCACTCTTCAGAAGTCTTTCCCGAAGCCGCTGGACCTGTTGCGATGCATGGGATCCCTCGACCTCACCTCGACTTGAAGGATGCCCACGCTGATGACCAAGTCTGCAAGTAGGAAACCGCCATTGCGACCATGATCACAATGTTCACTGTTCACTGACATCGCATGCATGACCTGGCTTTGCTCCATGCCTGCCGAATGTTGCATGTCAATGCTGTGCTGCCGACGTGCCTGAGTCGAGCAATGAGGCTTCTCACCGGGAGCAACGGCAAGGAGTTCGGCCTCGTGCGCCGGCAGCAGTCCCTCAAGATCGCTGCTGGGCACCTAGCGGGGGGTCTCATGGGGTCTCCCAGGTTCGCCGGACCGTGTGTTTGACAGCTTGCAATGACGATGCCTTTGCTCCAGGAATTAGAGCTATGTACAATCGCTGTCGGCCGCTGTAGCGGCTTCTCCCACTAAGCTAGTGCTGGGAGGTTCACTCTCAGACTCTCGCGGCGTGGAATCCTGTGTAGTCTGAACCCTGCGTCGTGTGAGTCCCTTCCAAGAGCCTGACAAGGTCACAGGTGTTCCTGTAGGCTTGTCACCGGAACAACAAGCACGCCTGGCACGGGCGTCAGGGCCTTAGAGTCAACATGACATGTACAGACGCGTGCATACGGGTTTGTTGCAGCTGCTGTACCATTGACAGCCTTCGGGGTGCGCTGCCGAGGCCATTCCTTGTCCCGTTGCGCCGCCACGATTGGATTGCTTTCTAACCTGATGAGAGCTGAAGAATTTGCGGAGCTTTGTGCCAAACCTGGTGTAGCAATAACTCGACATGTAGACATCTTTCATGTCAAGGGGCTCTTGTTGGTCTGAATACCACTGTCTGGCAGAGAACCGGCAACATGGTCAGGTGAGCTAATTCTCGAAACTCGACACTATGTGCAGCCAGACTCGCGCAGACAGGCTCTAGCTGCAGGGTTGTTAGACCGGTGCAGGACCTTCCCCGCATTTGCCCACATATCATCAGCAGGTGTCGTGATGCTGCAGTTCGACTTATTGGCATTCTGCCGAGAAGAACCGTACTTGTCTCCAGAGCTGGTGTAAAAACCAGGGCTACTGCTTGAAGCTGATGTGCCAACATGGTACAAACCGAATGGTTCATCAACATCTTGGTGGTGGTTGCTGCTCTGTGGCGCTTTCAACAAACTTCGGTCCAGGACTTGTTCGACCGAGCGTCTGGCACCTCGGGCTTGCGTAGTGATTCGTAGTAGCGTTTGTAGTGCTGGAGTACATGAACTCGTCGGGGTCGGAGCTTCCATTGCTTGAAGTTGTCTCAGCATCCCAGTGTTCGAGGTGTCTTCTTTCAAGCGGCCGTTCCGACTGTTCCGGCAGAGAGCACCGAGCTTGGGAAAGAGGATCGCGTGAGTTCGACCGTGCTGGGATCTTTACTAGGCCGTCTGCTGCGTTGTGTCTAACCTGATGGAGCTGTACGTCGAAAGTCAGAAATTCAGCCGTGTACAGGTGATGCCCTTGCATTGCAAACTCACTACGAGTACAACTATCGGAAGATTCGCGACTTCTACAGTGCCTTGGCAAACTTCAAACACTGGACTCAAGAAGAAGCTTCCCATGGCTGACTGACAGCCTCAAGGGAAGGCTTCGTATCTTGCTGGCTTCATAATTGTAAGAGATGCAGGGCTAAACTTTGCAAGCAAAGCTTTCGGACGTACCGACCA